CTAAGAGCAGAAAAATTGAAGAAAGAGATAGAGAGGCTAATTCTGGCTGCACAAGACCAAGCCTTAAATGCATTCAAAGTCAGAATTAAGATAGCAACAGAAAGCAAATGATGCCTCCACAAAGAAGCTGAAGAAACAGCAGACCATCTGATTTGCTGCTGTAAGATCACACAGACTGACTACAAACAATGGCTTGACAAAATAGCAACAATAGTACATTGGAATATCTGCAACAAATACCATTTGCCTACAAGCAAGAACTGGTGGAGGCCACAAAATAGACAAAGTAATAGAAAATGAAAAGGCTAAAGTGCTCTGGGACTTTAGAACTCAAACAAACAAGCACCTGTCACCTAACAAAAAATATAGATGATGAATATGGCAGTACCTGGTGACAGCACAATAGAAGAAAAGGAACAGGAGAAAATCACAAAATACAAAGACCTGGAAATAGAAATAGAATGACTATGAGGGAAAAAAAAGTTTTATAGTAAAGTATACTAGTAACTAGTAAACTAAGTAAAGATAATATCAATAAGCACATATTAAGCAATCCCATAACAGCACCAGCATTAACAAAACCCCGATCAGTCAATTGCTAAATTTCTTGGAACAGCTTACATCCTGTGATGATATCTTTAATACCATCAATCAACAATATCTCCCTATACCAGGTTCTTGGGAAGGATTCAGTAGGTGAATAAAAATGCCAAATCCAGTCTAAACATTTGGCTGACTGTGCAATGAAGCATAATAATTGTAAGTAGATCATATACTCAGCTCTGCAAGAAGATCACATAAATTGTTTATAAACAAAAACATAACAGTCACCAAGATGGTTCACTGGAACATCTGTAAAAATTACTACATGTACTGGTCAAATAATACTTTTTAATCAAGGAGAACCTATTCTCAAATCTAAGAAGAGTTGGAATCAGAAGGATTCTGATTCTGTCACAGGTTTACATATTTAAATTGAAAGAAAGGTTTAAATAAGATTTAAAAAGTTATGGATTTGACCTTGAAAAAAATGAATTGGAAATTGTACTGTGTGGAAATAATCAACATATCATTGGCAAAGTTTATTAACTGCTATTAAGATTGAATTTAGAGAATGAATGTGTGAAGCATTGCATGATATGGTGGGCAAATAATTTTGGGTCTAATGCTTGAACAATAGGAAAATATGTGGACAAACAATTTAAAATTTACATTAAATTATATCTTAAAATAATTTTTTAATAAAATGATATACTGTGGGTATTTAACACCAAATAAACTGTAAAAAAGGAACTTTTTATCATCTTTGGTAGACCTGAGATAAAGCAAAAAAATAAAAAATACTGGGATATGATTCATATTTAATACAAAAGATTCTTTAAGTTAATATAAAAATAAAAGAGCATTTTCATACAGAGTTAATGGACAAAGAGGTTGAAAAAATGGAAATTTGTTGTTATATTATAATTATTTATGCAATGGATAATTGTTTGGGGAAAAACTGATGCAACTAGCAGAGATGGCTAAATTGATAGCCTTAATCAAAGAAAATAACACATTCAACTTTGTTTCTACTTGGAAGCTGCTTCTGGATTTTTTAAATATGAACAGAAGTACAGCAAAAAACCAACAACTTTTTTTTAAAAAACAAACAAACAGAAGTTGAACAGAAGGGTAAGACAGTATAACACTCTACTATATCTTCATGAGAATCCTTAATGAAAGGGATCTTTGCCTCCCGAAGCTCTGCCTCTTTATGCAACATTTTATACTTATGTTTTCCAAAATAATTTTGCTTCTCACCATGTGTACACATAGCTAGCTTGATCCCTCCCTATAGTCCCAAGAGAAAATCTTCTCCCCAAAGGCCTACTTTTTACAGGTTCAGATTTCAAATATGTAATAGTGAGGACTAATTAGGACGAAAAGAGTCCTGATAAAAATAACTCAGTTAAAATGGGAATCATGGGAGAGAATGCAATAAAGAGAATAAAAGTGCAGTGCAGGTGAGGTTTAGATGTGATGGTTCAACTTTCTGCTCAAATGAAGCAGTTCTCACAAATCTGTGATTGTCTCTGCAGTTTCATAATTTATGAATGCATGCATATTGACCCCAATGGGCAGGGCCCATTGATAATCAGGCTCTCTGTTTCAGTAATTATTTGACTACTGATCAGTTGCTCTCCATGGTGGCAACCACTGAGGTCCTGGTGCTGATTAGGCTGTTGTGTATAAATTAGTATAAGAACAGTTTAATTAAAAATATGGGACCATTGAGTTCTAACTCATAGAATCATCAGATGGGTAGGCTGGACAGCCAGTATAGTTAAGACAACTGAGCTGGCAGCTTTGGAAAAGCATGCAGTCGTGGAATTTAAACTAGATTGGTTAACTTAAGGACTTGATTATTTAAGGGTACATCATTTATTTCAGATATTGTGAAAGAAGTGTATTAGTGTATCATTACAGTAGCATAACAGAAACTACCATTAAATATTTCAGAGCCAGCTGTAGTTTACAATAATGAAAATACATTTCAAGAATTTATTCATAATATTCATTATAAATGTTTTATTCAGACCCACACACATATGGAAACAAACACTGAGCTCAAATCAAATGTTCTTCAGTTGAAATGCAGTGCTTTTCCAGTATCTTTGGTGCTTTGAGGAAGAGATTATGGATAAAGCTCTTATGGCACTGACCTTAAAAACAGTTAAATGTTATGTGATGAAAGAGATAATCCCTAGCCATATGGACCAGCTTCACCCCTGAGATAAGGGAAGCCCCAACCCACTTTCCAGAAGACTGGGAAGGCCTGGTGCTTCCCCCAGATCTGGAGCCAGGATGTCTATTGAGCTCAGTGTAGGTGAGATGCCTCACTTTACATATTATTTTTGTATTTTGTGGGAATTAAATGAATATACGCATCATTATGATTATATGTGTATATAATTATACAATAATGGGAGCTGGTTTGGTGTTTTGCTTAAGGCATTAGGCTAGAAACGGGGAGGTTTAACCTCATTTTAGGCACAAAGCCAGCTAGCTGACCTTGGGCCAGTTACTTTCTCTCATGTCTCCTGGTTTCTAGCCTGATGCCTTAACCAAAACACCAAACTAGCTCTCACTTTTATAGTTAGAAAACATTTAACAATAGGCTGCCAGATGATTTCAGTGCAAATTTTTTGAGGTCTCACCTGCACTTTTTTATATTTTCTTTTGGAGTATAACTGGTCTTTGAACCTCATTTAAGTCACATTCAGAGAGCAGAGCTTTATTACTTCAACATTTCCTTTACAGTAGGGTTACCAAATCTGAACTTAAAAGAAAAACAGCTGACCATTTGATGGCAGCAGAATAAACAGGTATCTGTTTGTTGCCATCAAGTGTTCATTCAGATCTGCAACTTGGATCTGGTACCACTATTTGAGAGCCCCCACTTCTTCCTCAGGATCTGTTCCTGGACATTTGAATAGAGGATATTTGAAAATGATACGGTGATCTGCAGATAGAGCAGAAGTTATCAGATACCACCATTTCCTCAGAGAAATATAGGATTGATGTAGACTCCAAACCAATATACAACGTCCCAGAAATAAAAGAGTACAGTAATCATTGAAATAAATATAAACGATTACAATCAACTATGTTATATAGTCTCTGAAGACTTCAACAAATGCTAGTAATTTAGTATCAATTCAAGCTTTAACTCAAAGTTTAAGAATACAGGTAGTCCTCGATTTACAACCACAATTGAGCCCATATTTTCTGTTGTTAAGTGAGACATTTATTAAATGAATTTTGCCCCATGTACAACCTTTTTTGCCACAGTTGTTAAGTGAATCACTGCAGTTGTTAAGCTAGGAACATGGTTGTTAAGTGAATCTGACTTCCCCATTGATTTTGCTTGTCAGAAGGTCGCAAAAGATGAACACATGACCCCAGGACATGTAACTGTCATAAATATGAGTAAGTTGCCAAGTGTCTGAATTTTGATCACATGACCATAGGGATACTGCAACGGTCATAATTGTGAAAAACTGTCATAAGTCACTTTTTTCAGTGCTGTTGTAACTTTGAACAGTCACTAAACAAACAGTTTTAAATCGAGGACTACCTGTAGTCCAAATACTACTATAATTTATACTTGGTTCCAAGCAAAACTAATTTTGGTAAATCAAATGTTAAAGTCAAATAGCTTTGTCAACTATTTTAACAATTTCACTGTTATAAAATGCTCCAGATATTATTGTAACCATTATTAAGTGTCATCTCTTGTACGAACATTTTTTTTTCTGATTTACTGCCAAATTTATTTATTTATTTATTTATTTATTTATTTATTTATTTATTTATTTTATTATATTTCTGTACCGCTCTTCTCCTGCAGGACTCAGGGCGGTATACAGCCAGGATAAAACATAGCATATAAAATGTAAAAACATTTTAAAAAACAATTAAATAATTTTGGCCCAAATTTAAAACAACCCAATTAAAACCGAATTCGATTAAAAAAAAACCTGAGAGGATGGGATCAAGCCAGCCCAGCTAGATGGAACAAGTGTGTCTTCAGGGCCCGACGAAAAGTCCGGAGGTCTGATATCATGCATATCTCAGGGGGCAGGTCATTCCAGAGGGCAGGTGCTACCACAGAGAAGGCTCTCCCCCTGGGGGTCGCCGGCCGGCACTGCCTGGCCGACGGCACCCTGAGGAGGCCCTCTCTGTGCGAGCAAACCGGTCGGTGGGAGGCTATTGGCGGCAGAAGGCAGTCTCGCAAATACCCTGGCCCTAAGCCATGGAGCGCTTTAAAGGTGGTCAATTTAGACTGCTAGATATCTTCTGGGACACCTTGATAGTGTTTATCTGTTTATTACAATACTGAAGATTTATGATAAACAATTAAGTTTCAGATTCAATGGTTTATAATAATCCCTCCAAGATTTTTGTCAATGTTAATGTATATTTTATGGTGTTTCTTTTTTTCCCTTTTTTTCCAGTTCAGCTGAAGAACAATTTCACTGGCAAACACAAGGTAAAGTTCAATTTTTCAGAATTCTTTGCTGAATCTACTTGCTCAGAGGCTCTTTTTCCATGACTTATTCTCAGATTGTGTTTTTTCATGGATCTACAAAATCTTCAACAGAAAAAGTTCAAAAAGTATTTTCAGTAGTGCTTAAATGTTTGTGAACCCTTTTGAATTTTTAATATGTATGCATTAGGTAAAGGTAAAGGTGCGTGCTAGTCATTTCTGGCTCTAGTGGCAGTGCTCATCTCCATTTCAAAGCCGAAGAGCCAGCACTGTCCGAACATGGTCATGTGCCCGGCATGACTAAATGCCAAAGGCGCATGGAGCGCTGTTACCTTCCCACCAAAGTGGTCCCTATTTTACTACTTGCATTTTTTACATGCTTTCGAACTGCTAGGTTGCCAGAAGCTGGGACAAGTAATGGGAGCTCACACCGTTACGTGACACTAGGGATTCGAACTGCTGAACTGCCGACCTTCTGATTGACAAGCTCAGTATCTTAGCGACTGAGCCACTGCATCCCTTATATGTATGCATTGGAATGACTTAAAACATGATCTGATTTCCACACAAGTCCTAAAACTATATAAAGATAACCCACATATGTATTTGACTCATTTGCTTAATTGACTTTTCTTTGTCCAGTTTTAGGATTTATATAGAGAACTGGTAACATTTTAGATCTTTATTTATTCAGGCATATTGAAAATTCGAAAGGGTCCCCAAGCTTTTAAGCACCATTGTATGTTGAGAATGACCTCTAGGTTCTAGTTTTTGTAGTGAACTACTTACCTCTTCCTGTATGTGAACAGAATGCAAATCAGTTGTAACTGAAATAAATTGAAGAGCAGAAACTATTTATTTGCACAACATCCCTACATGTTAGAGTGGACAATTGGTAAACTCCTAGTTCCATTTTTGCAGCAATGATCACACTATTGAAATGTGATGGTGAACTTTTGATTTACAGCAGCAGTTTCAGTTGCTTGAAAAAAATAGTAATAGTATAGATTTGCTATAACTTGCTGATAGGGTTAATGCAGATGTTTTTCAAATTCAAATACTTAATTAAAACATACAGGGAAAGTGGAATGAAAATTATTTATTTTAAGCCCTCCAGTAACATTACTGGGTTATCACCATTTTTCCCTCAACATTGTCAAACTAAGTCTGCACTACTATTAATCGTCTCATCGTCCCTATCACCCATCTCCTCTCACTTATGACTGTATGACTGTAACCTTGTTGCTGGTATCCTTACGATTTATATTGACTGTTTCCTAATATGATTTGATTGCTTATCGGTTCCCTATGACTATCATTAAGTGTTGTACCTTATGATTCTTGATGAATGTATCTTTTCTTTTATGTACACTGAGAGTGTATGCACCAAGACAAATTCCTTGTGTGTCCAATCACACTCGGCCAATAAATAATTCTATTCTATTCTATTTCCTGGTGAGGAAAAGAAAATTTTAATTCCAGTCCACTGAAATTATTATCTTTAGTATTCTTAAATTGCTAGTAGCAGTTCAAGCAGTTATGGAAATGGTACTGAAGATATCTGATAGTTTAATCAATTTTTTTTAAGGTTCTTATCTTCAGTTTTCCAAATTTTTCTTTACATTTTTCCAAATATTTGAAATATTTAAAATAGCATTTTGTTACAGATGGTCAAAAGGATATAGAAGATGAGCTTACAACTGGTCTTGAACTTGTGGACTCTTGTATTAGATCTCTACAAGAATCAGGAATACTTGATCCACAGGACTATTCAACTAGTGAAAGTAAGTTTCCCAAGAATTGTTGTTGTTGTTGTTGTTGTTGTTGTTGTTGTAGCCTACCCCCAATTAAAATTGTTCAGTCTGTTCAGAAAAACATGATGCTTTTAAGATAAAAGGCCTCAGGGCTATTAAAGATTTTTTCTTTATAATCTTGAATATTTAAAAGCTTGTGGTATTCGCTGAGCAAGTGCTTATGTATGTATGTACAATAATCATCACTCTTGTTTTAGAGCCTTTTTATAAAGCACACCAAAAGCAGCATGGGATTTCTTTATGTACAGATAGTTTACAGAAGGAATGTGTAGAAAAGGAAAAAGCACCAAGGGTTTAGAAAGATTATTTATTTTGGTAAGTCAAGATGATTAGCTTTTCTCCTCTATCAAAACATTGAATTAAGTTTTCAGAAGATTTTATTCCATGTGGGTAATATGTGATCACTGAGGAGTTGGCTTCTTATTAAAACATTAATTTATAATAAGAATTCATAAATAACCATTGTTTACCATACTGCTTTTGAACTTCACTGATTCCAGTTATATCTGGTACTTTATTGCAATTGCCATGAGTTTACAACTGCAGTAGGGAGAATCTGAACATATTATCAGATCCATCCTTCCTTCCTTCCTTCCTTCCTTCCTTCCTTCCTTCCTTCCTTCCTTCCTTCCTTCCTTCCTTGTGCTTCAAATACTTCTTACTGATTGGAAAATAGAGCCTAAATATATGACTCCAATACAACATTTTTTTTTTTGTAAGGACCATTTTCCCCCTATTTTTCTGTTTTAATTATTATCTATGCTGGTATTGACATTCCTCTTTCCTGCTATCTGATTAGCAGAATTTATAGAAAGATTGGCCAACCATATTTTATCATAGTAGGATCAATGTGATTTGTCTGTTGTTCAATGTGTCATGAAATTCAGAAAATTAACTTAATAAATGATGGTCAAAGTAATCCTGCTAAGTGTGGCTTGCAAATGGAGCTACATAGGAAAAGGACAGAGGCTACTCATCAGACTTGGCATCCAAGTATAAATAGAAAATAAGAGGCGTTTGTTGAGCTTTTGCTTTTCTCTACTCTATCTTCTTTTTTAAAATTTTATCAAGTATGTATTGTTTAGAATATATTGGTATTCTTTACATTCAAAACGCTTTAAGATAGTTTTGTATAAAAAGTAGGATGGTGCTGCTGCTGTTGCTGTTAATAACCTGGTCTCTGAATCAGATAGGAGCAGAAAAGTGACTATATGACAATCTACTCTGTTCTCTAATCCTTCTCCAATACATGTACAAGTCCCTAATAAAAGTTGGAGGCCAAGCAGCAATGTAACATTTCCTTGTGCTCCCTCATGCAATGAAGTAATGCTGCAGTTTAAGTGCTAACTACCTAACTTTAAAAGACTTATCTTCAGTTCTGCATATCCTGGGATATTTTGTGTTTTACATGTTGGACTATATTTATTTAAAGCTAAGCAAGCCTGTCCAATTATCAGAGATTATGGGAACCAGTACAGTAATCAACATTGCTAGTTCTGCAGAGCTAGAAAGCAGAGCAAGGCATATATGTTATGTGAGCATAAATGCTTTCTAAGCAAGTTTCCACAGGGTGAATGAGTTATCAACCACAATGCTCAGACTTTTGTTTTTTCTTTGACCTCTAGATATGTACATGTGTACGTGTGCTTATATACATCTTTCTAAGTTTTAGCAGCCCAGCTTTATTAGTTTCATAGAAAATAAAAGGTTTCAAAGGAGGCATATAATATCAGCTTGAACATCTTACAGTCTGAAGGGTTGTTTAGCAGGACATTCTTTTTCACAAGAGAAGGAGAATTTAGGAATTGCTACAGAATATAGGAATTTTCATTTAACAATGCTCAAAAATGTAGCTGAACAAGAAACAAGTTGTCCAGAAAAATGTTTTTTAATACTGGTGACCGTGTTTTAATAAGTATGCTTCATTTATGTATTACCATGGTCCTGCTAGATTTTATATATATATTATATAGATGTTTTACTTACATGAATTAGTTAATTATGATTGGAATTTTTATCAGGTGCTTGAATCTTTATTCAGTTGAAATGCTACTCCACTGAATTTCCAGGTGCAGAAAAATGGTGAACTATCCAAACAGCAGAGATGATGTTGAAGTGAAGACTGCTGACCAAGCGGTGACTTACTTCAGCAGAGTTTCTCTGGATAAAGAGAGGCCAAGAGATCACTAACATAGGATTCTTGTGAGTAAACCCGCAGGATCCAGAGGGAACCTGCTGGTGACCCATAGGTAAGAGCACCAGGAGACTTGGAAGAAATATCAAGCTCACAGCTTCAAGTGGAACTTGCTAAAGGATACTGGTTCACCCAAACTCTTCTTTCTAAAACACATTTTCATTACAATCAATAATCTACAGAGAACTTTGTCTGGGGTGCGACTAAAGTGAAATGCAAAGAAACAGCTATAAGGATTTTAAAATAATTAAAAGCAAAAAGCTTACCAAGATTTTCAACTATGAAAATTTAAAACAAAGGGATTCAATCAAATTTGGAAAATTCTTTATTTTAAAGTTCTTTTGAATTAAATAAATTTGAAAAACTTTTAAGAAGTTTTGGGAAAAATAGAAATTTCGGGAACTGAGACAGAAACAATAAACCAAGAGATGAAAAAAGAACTACCTGGAGTTGTTAAAGTCTTAACAATTTTTGGGGAATAAGATGAAGACGACATGGATTCAAAAGTGGATAAATACTGTACACTTTGTCAAGAAGAAGATAAGAGGCCAGGTTTTACAACAACCATGAGAGAAAACAACACTGAAAAAGCAGAAAAACAACAGAAAAAGACACCATTCCAATGAGACAAATTGGAAAGAGTGATTATAACTACTGTCTGTTGGGATGACTAGGGATACAACAAGAAGTACTTGTTTTAAACAAAAAGACTGGAAACTCTTTGTGGATTTTTTGTTGAAATTGGATAAAAATGACATGGTAATTTTTGGATTTGCTGATTGAATATGGAAAGAAGGTCTCAAAGAACATGAAGTATGTTTCTTTTGGTCTTAAAATGAGGCTAATTCAACAAAATATTTGAATATTAACTTAATTCAGTGAAGATCCAAGAAAATTTCAGTAATTCTGATGGTTGGCTATATAAATTAGTAGGCTGGCTATTAATTTGCTTATATTAGAAGTATACAGCGGGTGAGATGACATTTGTACAATATGGACTTTTATTATTTCCCCATTTGCACTTGCTATCCAATGTTGGTTAACATGGTGCTACAGAGGTACATACAGTTTAAAAATATTGTTTCAGGGAAGCTTGGAATCAACTTCCCAGTGGAGGTAGTGGGTCAATCATCAGTAACTGACTTTAAACATGTTTGGGATAAGCATGTTTTTCAACTAACAAAATAATAAAACAAAATGAAATAAATAAAATAAAATAGTAACCAAATGACAGGAGTATGGTTTGTTGTTCAGAATAGCTTCATATCTAATTTGACTATATCTAGCTTAGATACATTCATTTTTAATGATGGTTGGTATTTCATTTTTGAAAGTTGATATATTCATGATGAATAAGGCTATAAATGGTTATTAGTTATGATGACTTTGCATCAGCAGTATTGGAACCAGTGTGTCTCCTAATTTCAGTTGAGGAGGACATACTATTAAAATATGTAATCTAACAGAGTCAATTTTCATGTGTTTTGTGTGTGTACATATAATGTACTATATGTGTGTATGATTGCATTTACTTAAGTAATTTATTGAAACTGAGAAAACCTATAGATAAATACAGCTTTATGTGACAACTGCATAAATATGGAGAACCGTTCCATTAAATTGTAGGAAACAAGAAACAATTTCTGCCTCTTTCAAACTGTGACTTTAAAATAAATACTGGAGATATGCATTTCTCTGCAGTTATAGTTATAAACATCAAATATGCCAGGTGTTTATAATATGAGAATCTCCATTTATGCAGCATGAAAGATCATTAAACTATTTTCACTTTGTTAACAGTCTGCTTTCTGTAATTCCCCAATGAAAAATAACACCTTTTTTGTAGAATCAGCAACATAAGTAGGCATTTGCTTACGAAAATATTTGGTTCTTGATTTTTCAGATGTTTCTTCTATCTGTCACTTCCTCTTAAAGCATGATTAAAGGTACATGACAAAGGACTTAAAGTTACTTTATTAGGTGCATAAAAACCAATTCAATCAAAATCTCCATTTTTAAAAATATCTACCTATCAGATGGTTGAACAAGTAAAATAAGAATAAATCTGGCATCCTAAACTGGCAGTTTGTTAATCAATGAGAGTTAGTTTCTTATAATCTAGCAAGATAACCTTATTCTGCTGATTTTGACAGCATCTTGAAACCAAGTGAGGAATATTTTAATCCCACTGAAAATAATCTGTCTGATTTCAAGAAAAGGAACCCTGAAGGTTGATTGGATAGAAATATAAAAAGAAATTAATTAGAAGGTTTAAAAATAGGTTACAATATGTTAAACCTGGTGTATTACAAGTGTTAATTGTAATACAATTAACAATGTTAATGCTACTATCTTAATATTGACATTTATTTGTCAGATACTATGTTTGTATTTTATATTTACCATTTTGCCTTAAGAAAAATTAAAATGCTCATGAAAAACAACACAAGAAAGATAACAATAGCCATATAATAATTAAATTATTTTATTTCTGGATTGATTGCATTAATACGAAAGCATTGATTAAAATGTCATTTTGATTGAAATTTCCGGTGATCTACTTCTGATTTTCCCTGTAAGATTTTCCCCAAGAGAATTTGAAAATAGTTTTTCAATTCCACATGTTGACCCCTGGACCTCTACAGTGTGGGGTGCTTCAGCATTGCACTTCTTCAAATTCTAACTGACATCATTAAGGGAGGTCATCCAGTGACACATTTTCAGGTGCAGTCAGAGATGTAATGCCATCACAATATTGGACTAGTATCTGAAGGCTGTAAAGGTTAGATGGGACTGAATCCTAGCAAGGAGTGACTCTGAGTTTTTGGTCTTCACAGATCTGATAAGGTGTCCTTTCTGACTCTTGCTGGGATAGCCCTCCCCTGGACAGAGCTGGTATGCAGTTGGGGGAGTCACCTTCACACAGATTCATCTTATACACCAATTCCACCTACTTTGGGGTGGGTAAGACTTGCTCAGTCACTTACATTCTAGTTATCTTCCACATGGTGTCGGACCTGGTTATTTGGACACTCTGTACATGGCACTACCCTTGAAGACCTTCCATACAAAAATCTCTTGGAGAGCTGTGCAAGTTTACCATATATTCCTGCCTAGTTCAGCATGTGGCAGCCCAGATTAATTATAAGGATATACTACAGTATATTCCTACTACACCACTACTACAACAGCTGCATTGACCATCATTTAGGTTTTTGTTTTTCAACTTTAAAGTGTATGTTTCATGGCCTGGATATCTCCAATCCAGGATCGAATATGGCTGCCTGATATGATCAGGAGAGAGTGCTTGCAAAAAAAGGATGCCTTTGCAGGTTATTTACAGCAAGCCCACTATCAAGGCTTAGGTGATGACCCCTTCCCATGGAACAACTTCTGAAACATAGTAAAAACATAGTTCTTAGAGGGTTTGTGGACAATTGGAAATTGTTCAGCTTCTGAAAGTTGGGACATTGGATAGGGGACTAATGGATATATTGTTTTGTTAGGGTTTAATCTTATATTGGTTGCATAGGCTGCTCAGGACCTATGAGAATTGAAAGGCGTAGAAATGAAATCACCATTATTGTCATCTATATAGCACTTCAGTATATCCAAATCTTTAGGATACTTTCAGAAATAACTCTGTTCAAAGACAGATTTATGAACCGTGCTTACTTATGTGTCTATTTCATCTGTTTCCATTTTTCCTGTTCCATCCCATCCCTTTGCCATTTTTTACCATTTATGAGAATCTATAGAAAAAAAACTATAAAGAGAAGCATATGCAACATGTAAAGAGAGAGAAACTATAAAGAGGTATCATGTAACAGTCAAGTAAATAACATAGAGTGCTCAGATATATACAAGCATTAGCAAAGTATTGTGTAATTATGCTTACTAGATCTAAAATAATTACTGCATGAGAGACAGTGCAATTTAGGGAACTGAATTAATCATGTATTTATCTGGTAATTATATAGTATCTTGTAAATAACCTGACATTACATTATAATTACCATCTGAAAAAAGCTAACTTAAAAGAAAGGAAGAAAAAAGGATAAATTTGTTAGCTCAAGGAAGAGAGAATATGTATTTATTTCTTTGAAATCTGTACATTCCCTTCAAAGCACATTTTTTCCAGTCAACCTTTTGGAAGGGTACAAAAATCAAAGGCAATCTGAACCAAAGAAACACAAAATGTAACTTCTTGGCAAGCTTGCCCAGCAAATGACCTTTTCTAGTGATCATGATGGTACTGAGCTTAATGAACTATATGATGAATACTTAGTCTAATGACGTATATACAGTCCATCTGAACACACAGGTGCATGGAAATACACCAGCATACTACAGTGGATTAAAGCAATGATATGCCAAAGACCAGAAGATCATCAAAGTATTACAAATGAATAAAAACATCAAGATTCAGGACACTGAAATTCCATAACCAAGAACTGTCCAATTTTTGACCCCTCTCAATTTTTTTCTAAAATTGTAACAATATTACATGACAACATTGATGAGAACCAACTGATCAGAATCAACATTTCAGGATTATAAAATAGAAGATGAAGAGGAGCATTGGCCCCGTGCGTGTCAGTTAATTGAAGTGTATGAATGTGAAAAATGTAAGAGTTTCTCATTCTATAGCTTGCCATTTTGTTTGCTGCTTTTTATCTGCTATTTCTCCCATTACCATTTCTATATTTGCTTAAGAAATATATAATTGAGAAATGCATTCAAAGGATAATTATATTCAAGCTGTGATTCAATAAATCTGTACATTCGTTATAGTTTAGTAAACATGATCTTATACAGTACCTAAAATATGATTAATAATTGTAATAACGTTTTGAAACAAAATAACAAGAGGAAGTTAATAAAATAATAATAATATAGGTTAGCATTTATGTAAATTAACCATATTTTTATTTCTATATACAGTAAGAGATAAAATAGTTGCTTCTGACAAACATATGGAAGAGACTCTAAGTTCTTAAAATATCATAAATAAAAATAATGTATATTTTCCTAAGAGTATTGCACTATTTTGTACCCCTAACAGAATGTGTAATGTGTTTTGGACTCATTATATCTTTATTATTTATTGATTGCTAACTGTATATTCTACCTTCCCTTCAGGTGCTCAAGACAGCTTCATTTTATTCTTATAACAGCAGTTCTATGAAGTAGATTGAGGAGAGGGAGGAAGGAAGAAAGGGAGAGGGAGGAAGAGGGAGGGGGGAGAGACAGAGAGGAAGAGAGTAGGGAGACGGGGGAGGGAGGGAGGGAGAGAGACCCAAATTCATCCAGTGTCTTTAAAGGTGGCCTGGAACCTTGATTTTCCCAGTCATAATCCAACATTTTGACAACTAGACTACACTAGTTGCTGCTGCTTTATTTCTGGCCCAATTTAAATGACTGATGTCTTTCAAACTTTTGAACCAAAACAGATTGTCTTATAAAGCAGCACTCTCCAAATTGTAACCATCTACATCTATAGATATTCTTAGAGGTCTTTCTCCATCAAATTGGATGGATGTTTGTTAGAGAGAGAATCTTTTGGATTATGGCCCTTGGTTGGGCAACAAACTTTCCAAAGAGGCTTATCAGGTTTTGGGATTTGGGGCATAATAGTAATAATATAACTACGTTTCAATTTGCAAATCCCATTGGTAAAATATTTTGAATGGTTAGGGCAGAAATCTACATCAGAGAGCTCTAGGTCATTATTGGGGTTATTACATCCAGTATTCTCTCTTCAAAATTTCCATCATTATCACACTTACAGGGTTATTTCTACAATGGTTTAACATTGATTTCATCTTTGAAAAAACTTGAAAGCAAAAGCCGTGCATTTAATTAAAAATAACATGAAATTGCCATAAATGTAATTGGAGGAAGGAGAAGGTCCAAAAGGACCTCAATCTGGCATGATCCTAATGCTGCTGTTAACCTATTATCCTGTTTGATTAATATATAAACATTCAAATTGGCTAAAAGATGCACCTGTTAATTGGGCAGAACATGTTAATCGAATTTGATTTTAGTATAAAAAATGAGATCTCTCATTAGAAAAGAGTTCCTAAGGCATGCTATTATGGCACAAATATATATAAATGTTTTTATCAATAATATTTTTATTCAGCTATAGATTTAATAAAAACGCCTCAGGTAGAGCATGGCTCCAGCTGACTATAAAAATTAGAAGTCTATGTAATTACAAGTCTTGATCAATGGTATATTTATGGTTTGCCATTGGTATCTTCTGAGGTGTTTGTTTTTGTTTGTTTTAATTTTCTAATCTAGTTTTACTGCTATAGGATTTCCTGGAGGATCTCCCATTCCACTGTTAATAAGGTCCAAAAGTTCACAGCTTTTTATGAGATTAAACCAAGATTACTAGGTATTTCCACTTGCTATAGTAAATTTAATTAATTGCAATTAAAAAAATGACAGTATGGCCCCATGCATGTAGCTGCATGTGTTTTTCTACTTATCTATAACATTTTCTCAGATTTCCCCTTCTGACACGTACTCATTTCTATAAACAAAATAATAAATTACAAGCTTATCAGATATTTACCCAAATCAAACTAAAGCTGAATGTGATACTAAAGTTTTAAATTCTGAATTTTCCCTCTCCATATTTGTTAGCTGTTCAAGATAGTCCAGATAAGAAACACAACCAGGAATATTAGTACTGTCTTTTATTGTAAGGTTGCCCGAAATAGAATGCAAACCCTATCCTCTTTTTTTGGAGTTTCTGGAAGACTAGGGAGGGTCCCTTTGCAAGCTTTTTCTTTGCCTACAGACTGAGTTGCCTCTTATCAAAATGCTGCTTAGGTCAGTGGCCCCCAATCTTTTGGTCACCAGAGACTGGTTTCATGGAGAGTGTTTTTTCTGTGGACTAGAGGTTTCATGTGCTGCCTGCATCCCACAGATGGAGTTTCACCACAAAACAATAATATTTGTGTGGGATCAGATTGGTATTCTAGTATGACAGAAAGTAGGATTTAACATTTCTTCCTCCAAAACTTACTTTCCTTGGAAATAGAGGTGGAAGGAGTAATTCAACACTATTTTAATATATTTCTTTTCCTATTTGATTTTGCCCTACAACTATTTCATTTCCCCACTGGTCATTTATTTTTGCCAATTAGACTTAATAGAACAACATTTTTAAACACCCACGTATTCTCTTATCTTTTGGAAAATAATAAAATGAAAACGTTTAAATTAAACATGCTGTAGTATAATGTTATTTCTGACATTATATGATACAGAAATCAGAAAAAAGGTAATTGATCATTCCAATTATTTTTGTGAAAATACTTGCTTTTCCTTTCACTGATACTTGAAATTATTTTCAATACAGGGCCCAGCCTTCTATCCCAGAGTGCACTTCAGCTCAATTCCAAATCGGAAGGATCTTTCCAATATCCATCAAGCTATCATAGCAACCAGACCCTAGCCCTTGGAGAAGGAACAGCATCCCAGCTCCCAGCCCGCAGCAGTCAAGCTAGAGCTTCTCTACAGAACTATGGTCAGGTATGTTTGGAGAAAAAAATCAAACTCATTTATATTAATTAATGTTAAGATTATTGAACATTATTTTGACTGAAAATATTTTACATGCATAAACAAAGTTCACCAGTGTGCTTCTAATTTAGCACAGCATAATTAATAAAATCAAGCTAACAAATAAACAAACAATTTGCTGAGGTGCAGGGGCTCTGGAGAAGGTGGAGGCTTTCTCTGAAGTAGCCTCTACTTTATGGAAATCTCTCCTTCCAGAAGTACCCTTTTCCCTCCCAAAGTAAGACATCCCCTGATAATAAGTCCAATCGGGCGCATGGCAATAAGGCCAAGCTTATTTCAGGGTTCAAAAAAATATAAGACAGGGTCTTATTTTCGGGGAAACATAGTAAATGTAACTCACACCCTTCTGGCCTTTCAAAAGTGCACCTTTATTTCATTGTGCTTTTGGACAAATGCTGAATGATGCTTTTTCAATATAAATATTATTATATTGTTCATTTGTTTGTTTGTTTAATTGGATTGATGTTTTTTTATTGGTCACAACCTTGGGTCCATTGGAAGTGAGGTAGCAAAGAGAGGTCCTAAAATAAACAAACATTTGTTTAGAAACTTGCGATTCTATAATTTACCTTTTAAATGTATATAACTCTGAAATTCTGTGGCATTTTTAAAATCTAGTTATACAAAATTCTGAAAATTAGAGCTGTATAAAAGTTGTTTCATTTTTATGATTGGTTTGCACATTGACATGTGAGATTTACATCATCCCAACATCCAGAAGTGCCCAATACACGAATTTCAGAATGAAAACTATTGGGTTCATATTTGCTGTGCCATATCATGTTCCCCACTAAAGCATTAAAGAAGTATATTGTAAGTCTGAATTATTATTCTACATATTTAGTTGTTTTAATTGTGGATTAATTATGCAACCATCAAGCTGTTATTACATCAGGATCCTTTTTTTTTTCTCTTTTCCTCTTTTATCCATTTTAGAACAGCATTTTCAAACCCATTCTTAGGGACACTAATATGGAACAGCAAAACTGTAGCACATTTTTATAGTCATATTTTATTTGTCTGCTTATTTGAAAAACAATGTTGCCTTCTAAGATTATATAGAAAGCTTGAGAATATTTTGGCAAAATAAAGATCCCCATTTGAAAAATATGTAGAACATGGCCCAAGCATTTCCTAACGATTCTGGACATAGTGGCACATTCTGCATTTTGAGAAACAGCTATGGACATTATCATAAAACCACTGCAACAAAAAACATGCCAATTCACAGAATGGCTGTGTTTTAATGTGATAGCCAATCACAATATACATATACATTTCACAGAAAACAAAGTAATAATGATACGAGAGGAATAACTTGGTCAAGAACCTAATTACAAAGCAGTAGGGTCTGAATCACCAAAATATACATTTGTTGTTTAGGATAGTTATTTCACAGAAGGAAAATTTGATTTCTCTGAAAGAACATGGGACACCCCAAAGTCAGATTATATTCATTTGTGTTCTATAGATAAGCAAAGTTATTTTCAAATTTCAAATGAAGATCTTACCTGGCAGTTCTTTAATTTTATTGTCCCATCTGATTCAGTTTTTTTTTTTTTTACCTTTGCTATTGATTGTCAATGTATATTGTTTTTATATAAACCACATCTTTTGTAAGCCACTTTGAACAATGATTTTTGCTGGAAGATAAACATGGAAATTGTGTTTCTTAAAATACATAGATATAGTAAATACACCTACTCCTATCTTTATTATTAGCCTTGGTGGCGCAGTGGTTAAGAGTGTAGTACTGCAGGCCACTTCTGCTGACTAATGACTGCCTGCAATTTGGCAGTTCAAATCCCACCAGGCTCAAGGTTGGCTCGGCCTTCCATCCTTCTGAGGTGGGTAAAATAAGGACCCAGATTGTTGGGGGCAATATGCTGACTCTGTAAAACCGCTTAGAGAGGGCTGTAAAGCACTATAAAGCAGTATATAAATTTAAGTGCTATTGCTATTGCTAAATTGTGGTGATATCTTTTATGCTTTTAATATTGCTAACTTATTTGCTTCGTAAATAAGTATCTTCATTAAGTTGATGAAGTTCTTAATTAATTTACCTATATGCATTGCAGTTATAACAGGCCACATAGATATATTGCAAAAGCTTTTATCATTTCATGTCAAATGATCGCTGGAAATACACACATCCTGTAATATTTTAAAAAAATTGTTCCTGATAGTTTTACTGCAGTCTCCAAGGTGGAATTCAAAGTACTTCATATTTCTTATTTTGCAAAAATGCTGATGTGAGGAAGGATCTAATACCTGATCACCTCAGCTAGCTGATTTGGTATGCAGTGAAAGGGAACAAAAGTCTTAGTCAAGTAATTGTATTTTTTACTGTTACAGTGAAATATTTCTAGACTTTTCTAGACATTCTACGAAGTATTAATAACTCTTCTTGGTACTTTGTGGAGTTTGAGCTTGCAGAATTATTTGCTGCCCCAAACCATATAAACAATGTATTATATCTGTATAATAATCAGAATAAATTGTAGTAGATTTTCCCAAGAAGTAAAATGATTGCACAGAGCTCCAGGTCACATTTGACTGTGATCTTTGATTCTTTGTTCTCTTTCTCCACATTCCTATAAGGTATGTCTTTTTTTTTTTTTTTTAAGAAACAATTAAGTTTTTTCCTCCACCAGTATGCTGAACACAAAATGTTAAGTGAAAAAGTGTTAATTCACTAGAGTTCTTAACATAACTTTTTTTCACTTACTTAAGTAACAATCCTTCAGATATGATGTGCATATTTATGGATTCAGACAAAAATGTTAGGGTTTCTGGCAGCTAATTACATATCTAATTAAGAAAGCTGATTTCAAAGAAAAAATGTTACTGTGGTTCAGCCATACAAATCGGTGTGTGTGTGTGCACGTTAATGTGTGTACACAAAAAGAGAAGGAGGGAGGGAGAAAATTTCCTATTCTTGAGTATGGCTTTGTAAAGACTTGAGCCTTGCTGTCTTAACACTGAAAAAAATCCCACAGTTCACACTAACATACCATAGAAGCACAAAATCTCCTCCAAAAAAGGAAAAGCTCAGAAAGTATTTCACAATTGTAACTTTACCATTCTGAAAATAACACCACTTTTTCAAACCCTAATTATATACAAATTTATTGTGGCATGAGTTTATCATGTACTTTATCAGAAAAAATTATCTGGAATGCTGTCAGTATTTGCATAGAACGTTGTTATTTTTTTATCAATTCTTTTTTGTAAAGTTTATTAAAACATGTTTTAGTTTGTTTCTGATGAAGATACTTTAAAAGATATTTTTAAAATAAAGGCAACTGTTTATATAATGCATAATTAATCTAAATAGGAATATACAGAAATGGATAAAGGAACATGCAACATTTAATTTCTGCATCAGTATAAACAGGATAAAAAGCTTAAACTCCTAAGCAAAACACAAAAATAAAGCACAAAGCATGATATTATATTGTGTGAGGGTTTTCAACCAAACAAATTTAACCATGGCTATATCAATGCTACATTGCTTATGGAACATTTTTAAAAGCAGATATTGTCCCAGGAAAATACTGAAAATGAATCAATGTCTAAAAAGCTGTAACAGCATACAAAAGATCAAGCTCTAGTAGTCAGTCACAGCAGAAGCCTGGCATCCTATTTAATCCCAGATGTCTCCAAGAAGCCTAAAAACAGATCATGAAGGTATGAATGGAGGTGAGCAGCTCTCTCCCTCTGATGGCAGGCCTCTGACACCAAGTAAAGCTATGGGTCTCTGAATGTGCAGGGTAGCAGTCTGGGCTGTTAGGCATCTGTCCAGCCAGTGCGGATTCTCTTCTGCTCATACGGGATATTTTAATGATACTACAATTGGCTTCTGCTTATGCAGAATCTTTCAACATTAAATTTCACTGAATAATTATGCTCCAAGAACATGAATCTCCACATTCTCCTATGGCAAGATAGGTGGCAAACAAATTTAACAAATAATAAATATTATTTAACTTTTTCATAATAGTTATACATTATGTTCACATTTTTATTTATCGTATTATTTTCCTAATTAGGTTATTTACTAATTATATTATTCCTAGTTGGTCAGACATTCTGACCAAGTAAGGATGGACTTAGATCTCTTCTGTTGTTAAACTTAATTTGAAATTTTCTAGAGCTTGGGTTTCAAAGTATTCCATGTAGAGGTTGGCAATGACAGGTGAGAGGGATGATCCCATGGGTGCTCCTTCTATTTGTTTATATTTCTGTCCATTATAGATGAAGTATGTGTTGGATAGGCAGTGGTTGGTCAGATCTAAGATGTGCTTGGGGGGGGTTATATTTGTTTTGGATAACTGTCAAGGCTTCTTTGATTGGTACTTGGGTGAAGAGGGATATGACATCGAAGCTCACAAGTAGGTCACTGGGCTGTAAGTTTTGTTGCTTTATGATGTCTATGAACTGGAATGAGTTTTTTACGTATGAGGTGATGGATTCTGCATAGGGCTGTAGTTGTTTGGCGAGAAATTTGGCTAGGTTTTGTAGAGGTGAGCCTATGGAGCTGACTATGGGTCTAAGTGGGGTTCCTTCTTTGTGTATCTTGGGGAGACCATAAAGCTTAGGGCATATCTGGATGATTTCTCTCTGGGAATGATTCTTTGCTGAATCTCTTTGCTGATGGGGGAGGCTTTTATTTTGGATCTGGTGGTTTTTTCCAGGTAGGTGGTGGGGTCTGTGTTTAGGGGTTTGTATATGGAGTCTTGGAGTAGGTTGGTTAATTTGGTTTGGTAGTCAGATGTGTTCATAACCACCGTGGCATTGCCCTTGTCTGCTGGTAGGATTATTATGCTGGTGTCTTCTTTCAGGTTAAATAGTGCTGTCTGTTCCTCTTTGGGTAAGTTACTTTTGGGTGGCTTGCTGGTGCAGCGGATGTTGGTGATTTCGAGTCTGATTCTGTTTGCATCGTCGGGGTTGCTTTTGGTCAGGCTGGTTTCAACTCCGCATATAATGTTTTCAGTGGGGATGCTTTTGGGAGCGACTGCAAAGTTGAATCCTTTGGAAAGGACATTGGTTTTGGGTTTGGTGAGGATCCTATCTGAGATGTTATGCACTGTTTGTTTCATGTGTGGCTGTGAGGGTGGAGGGGATTGTTTCTGGCGTTCTTGTAGTCTTCGGAGTTTGTTGGTGTGTGTGTCTGTCTTGAGGGTGGTCTGTGTTTCGGCTCTCCAGACGGCAAGTTGTTTGGATTTGTCCCAAAGTGTGGGGTGGATCTTGTTGCTGAGTTTGAGGTGAAGTGTGAGGAGATCCTTGTTGATTCGGTCTAGGAGGAATCTTTTTCTGTGGAGTTCATTTCTGATTAGGGCTAGTTCTGTTCTTTTCAGAATGCGTTTGGTACCTGCAGAGTTGGAGTGGAATTTCAGTTGGAAGCCTGTGGGGATTAAATTTTGATCTTCTTCCCTGGTCCAACACCTTAAAGCCACAGGACATGATATTGACTTTAAAAAGACCAGAACTATCGCCAAAACTGAACACTTTAACAACAGAATAATCAGAAAAGCCATCGAGATAGAAAAACGCCCACACAGCATGAACAAACGAGACGATACCTCCCGCCTACCAGCCATTTGGAAACCCGCCCTTATTGACAAACGAGTCCCTAACACGACGAATGACACCAGACCCACACTCACAAGAGCCACACAGGATGTCACCACCACATATCCACGCAGAAAGCAGACTCAAACCCACACTGATAATGAGCCACGACCAAGGACCAGAAGCCAGACCACAGCTGCATCATTAGCCACTTTAAACCCCTCCAATCCATATATGAAGCAGACTGACACCCACCATGAAGAGCTCGCACGGCCACAAACACAAAGCCAAACAACAACAACACAGCTCACCAGCTCAAATCCCCCTGCAACTCAGACTAAGCTGAGCACAACCAAGCCCCCACCCAAACAGAACACACCCCCAGCCAATCAGAGCACAACCAACCCCCCATCCAATCAGAGCACAGCCAAGCCCCTAACCAATCAGAACACACCTCCACCCAATCAGAACACAGCCAAGTTCCCACCCAATCAGCTCACACCCCCACTAGCAGTTAAAAGGAAGAGACAGCTGCGATCTCACATTGCTCCTGGAAGCACGAAGCCGAGAACACCAGCCTGAAGATGACGAATGAGACTTTGTCGAAACATTGCCAAGACACTTCCAATTTTACGTGGGAGAAGACCCGAATAACCAAAGACCTACATACATACATACATACATACATACATACATACATACACATACATACACATACATACACACACACACATATATATATACACATAAACACACACACACACACACACACATATATATATATTAAAAAAAAATCTCCACAGGATTAAATGGGTTTTCTATATATTACAGTCCAAAGTCATAACAATTAATGACATTTTGTATTACTTCATAATCTTTTATCTAACTGTGGATAAATGCTAGGGGTGCACCTTCATATGCCCTACAGGGACTGCACCTTTGAATATGAAGGTTGACAAGCAGAGCCCTTATGCCACCAAAATAGGCATATCACCAAAGGCAAATGGCAAACCTTTAGCCTAAAATCCACTTTATTCCCCATATATGTAGTGGTCTCATCTGCTTTTAG